TTTTTATAATTTTTACATGTATGAAAATAAAGATATGTATATTTTAAGACGCATTTTGAAGACGGTAAAAAGTCAAATGGGGCAAATAAATATAGTAAACCAATTTGTTAGTTTATCCACAAAATTAAATTCACAAAACTCATAAGGACTTAGCTACCTCTAAAATGCCAATCCGCTACTAATCGAGACACAATTGGTTGGATAATAAGCTGTCATCTTCCCCAATCTCATGCTATATGCAATTCAAACATGAAAGCTTACTGTAGACCATGTGTTCGACGAAATGCTAAACAAGATTTGTTCATTATTCGTGATACCACCCCATGAATCTTTGAGCCCTCAATTAAACAATGATACGAACCTACAACTGTAGAAGAGATTGATTATAAATAATCCAGGGAGATGAATGGATTACTTCGAAAATTAGTGATTTTGTTTAGTATTAGATCAAATTATAGGAATTATAGCAACTGGAGGAATTGCAATGTGCATATCAGAGATTCTCATGATTACATCCACATGCTTAAAATGTGTTCCAGTGGAAGAAACTTGAAACAAATTCATGCCCAGATTATTGTTGGAGATTATGAGCAAAACCCATTTGTTGCTTCAAAGCTTTTAGGGAAATACATTGAGCTAGCAGCTTCTAGTATGGAAGATGCACGGAAGGTGTTTGATAAATTGCCTGAAAGAGATGTTTTCTTATGGAATATGATATTACAGGGTTTTTCAAAACATGGGCACTTTGAGGATGCATTGAGCTCCTTTGTTCGAATGCGGGTGGCCGGTGTTGCTGTGGATCAGTACACACTTCCGTTTGTTTTGAAGGCTTGTGGCGGAGCGAAAGAGATTAAAATGGGTCAGGTGATTCATGGGTATATAGTGAAATCTGGGTTTGCTTCGGATCTCTTTGTTGGTAATGCTCTAGTGGCATTTTATGGGAAGTGTCAAGAAGTTAGTTCATCTAGGGAGATGTTTGATGAGATGCAACAAAAAGATATTGTTAGTTGGAATTCAATGATTTCTGCTTATGTTGTTAATGATCTTCTCAGTGAGGGTGTAGAACTCTTTCATATTATGCTAAATGATGAAACAATTTCGCCGGATAAAGCTACACTGGTAGGTATTCTTCCTGCTTGTGCTCAACAACCAGCCATCAAAGAAGGTTTATGGATTCATTCTTACATTGTAAAATCTTGCATGGAGCTTGATGCGGCCTTTGGTAGTAGCCTTATATCATTCTATGCTAATATTGGGCGCTTAGGGTCTGCAAAGTTAATATTTGATCAAGTATCTGATAAAAACATTGTGATTTGGAATGTGATGATTAGGGCTTACGGAACACATGGCCAGGCTGAAGAAGCCCTGAAGCTATTTTCCCGACTTGTAGATACTGGATTACGGCCAGATGGTCTGGTATTTTTGTGTTTACTGTCAGCCTGTAGTCATGCAGGGATGATTTCAGAAGGCTTAAAACTATTTGACAAGATGGAACACTATGAAGTTGAGAAAATTCCTGAGCATTATGCTTGTATCATAGATTTGTACAGCCGGGCAGGTCTACTAGACGAAGCCATGAAATTTATTAAGACTATGCCTATTGAGGCAGGGAAGGATGTCTATGGTGCCTTGCTTGGTGCTTGTAGGATACATAATAACATTGAACTTGCTGAGGAAGTAGCGAAAAAGCTGTTTGATTTAGACCCTGGAAATTCAGGGCGTTATCTCATTTTGGTCAAGATGTATGAGGATGCAGGCCGGCATCAGGATGCTGCTAGGTTGAGGACGACATTGAGAGACAAGAAGATTCAAAGACCAGTTAGCTTCAGTGCAATCGAAATAGAATATAATCTTCACACATTTGGAGTAGAGGATGAATCCCATCCATTCAGGGAACAAATTTTTGACACATTACATAAGTTGGAGTTGTTGATGATAGATGAAACAACTGTAGCTAATCAAATGGTAGTAAACTCATAGTAACAGGGATGGAGGTCGATTATTGGCAGTGAGCTCATATGAATCATAGTTGATCAATTGGTAATGAACACAGTTAATCTTTGACCCATTTATATTCTTTCCATCCCAATAGAATAATCACTATGGTAATCTCATGTGCCCAATAACTTCGTAGTTCGTACTGAGGTAGTATAATCTAATTCCTTATTTAAAGATGGGGTAGAAGGATTTTTTTTTTTTTTTTACTCGCATTTGTCTAACATGACAGGGGCAGTGAAGCTATGTTCTGTTTTTTTTTTTCTCTTTCCAGGCATGATATTCTGATATTCGGTCTCTGCACAGTTTGACAAATTTACAGGAACGAGGGTTAAAGATTGATCTTGCTCAGTTGCTCTAGCTGCCTACCCTATTAGATAGGAAAGAAATTCAAGAATTTTTGGATAGAATTGCACTTCATGGAAGACCAAGCAAATTAGCTTGGAAATCAGAATGTCTGCTGCAGTGCTGCTGGATTCCAGGCACACGTAAAACTTGATTCAAGACATGCTTAAACTTTCCATATGCAAAAATTAACAGATTATAAATGTATAATTACTCTGAATAATAATTCTAACATGTATATGATGTATTGTATGAATAATACTAATTACTCTAAATGATAATTCAATAATATGCAAAAATTACCAGATTATAAATGTTTGAGCTTGCACGCAATCGAGTTAAGACAAGATATTGTAAATTTTCTTTGAAGGCTCGTTAATGAAAAATATAGAATTTGCATAGTACATAGTCTTTCAAGATTTGTAAGTTATGAGTAGACTTGTTCAACGGGCCAAGCTAGGCTGGGCCGGGCGTTATATGAAATGGACCAGGTCGGGCCAAGCCTAATCCAAAATGGGCCGAGCTTGTCCAAGGGCCATTAAGCCAAACCCAGCCTGGCCCGGCCCATAATCAAAGTCAAAGTCCTAAAAATCCTATTTCATAACAATCAAAAGTCAACGTGATAACTTAAAGCCAAATAATTGTTATGGAGTCTAATTATCATGAACAATAATCTTTTCCAGGGAAAAAAAACACACCGTTTTCCGAGCCTAAAGAACGCTAGCTTTGGGTTATATAGTACTCCATATATACTCTTCCGTTGCACCCTTGGTTTATTATACTTTTCCTACCTCAAATTTATTGGCACAACAAATTTTTTCTTTTTTTTTAAATAGTTAGGGTTTGGGTTTATTTATACTATTTTTTAATATTTATATGATGGAAAAGAATTATTATTTTAATTGCTAAAAGATTTAACTTCAAAAAAAATCACTTAAAGATTTATATGGATTTTTTTTTTTTAAGTTTAATAGTTTAATCGAAAAAAAACACTAAAACCATTTCTATCTTTTCTTTGAAAAAATTAACATTTTTTTCAAAATCCTTGTATTCTGCTCATATGATCTGAATAAAAAAATTAGATTGAAGCACTAACTCGGTGCACCAAAATCAAGATGAACAGCGACATTATCAATGACAGATCAAGCTCGTTGCCTGATTCTCTTCTAATCACCATACTATCTCTTCTTCCAATCAATTCCGCCGCTGCCACCTCCGTCTTATATCCCACCGTTTTCCGGCGAGTCCTCCGCCGCCGATGACGACGACTATGCTCATCGATTATCGCACAGCCTTTTCCGATTCCAACGATATCAGCAATGGCAGCAGCATCTGCTGCGCCGCCACAACTACCACTACTTCCACCGCCATCGCCGCCGATAACTCTCTCTCTTCCACTCCTTCCTCCGCCTCTCCGAAAACCTCGACTCCTTGTTCCAATCCTCGCTCTTCGACTCCGACACCTACGCCGACGCCAAAATCGTCATCGACGACCGTTAGGGATCTGGGAATTTTTTTTTTAGGGTTTAGGGGAAATTGAGAATTTTTATTTTCAGGTATCATAATTTGATGTTAGGAAGTCTTAGAAACAGAAAAATTAGGATAAATAAAGCCTCATCATATTTATCCAATTTCAGCCATTTTTACCTTAGACCCAACCCTTTAAAACCCTATTATTTAATAACTCTTTAAAAGCTCGTCCCATTTAAATATTGGATTGATAAAACCCTTTTATGAAAGGGATGGGTCAGGGCTTTAAATAGGCCCTTAACTCATTGAACAGGTCTAGTTATAAGCTAAGTTATACAAGTATGTCTTATAAGCTTTGTCTCAATATATAATTCAAGGTTGTTAGGATCGGAATCCTACCTTGAATCGATGAAGGGGGGTGGGATCGAATCGACATAACGGATCGTAGGATCGTAAGATCCTACTTAATAACGAATAATATTATATATTATGCTATAAATTGACTTAAAAGCATTTCTTCTATGGGGTTTCAATGCTAAAAGACATTGGTTTGCTTATTTGTCTGTATGGTAGTTAGAAGATTAATAACACAAGTTTAAATTAATAAATTATGTGCAAATTTGTCAAGAATGAGACCTTAACTATGACAATTGCAAGTTGTCAATTGATAAAATCATATTAATGTCTCGGATTCGCTAATTTATTAGCGGTGATTATTGAATACATTAAATTTAGGTGCATATAACCTAATGGGCAATAAAAAAATATGTCAAAATAAATCAAAGTCTCATATTATAGTAAAATGTTGGATCAGATCGTAGGATCGTAATAAAATCGTAGGATCGTGTTGAGATCTTACCACTCATAATTAATATCGGAGTAGGATCGGAAGATCCTACAAACTTTAAGATCCTACCAAAGATCCGAATCGATCACGCAATTTTGGATCGTAGAATCGTAGGATCGTAAGATCCGGATCGGGATTTTAACAACTATGATATAATTACAAATCAACTTTATAGAATTTATGCTGATTTAAATGTATTGGTGGTTAAACTTTTGCACTAATAAACATAAATAATATAGAAAAATACAATACCACCAACTAACATAACATATGAAAGTCAATTAGTTTGTATAAATCTTGCACTGGTCAAAGCAGAGACTAATCCGACGAGAGGTTTTCGATATTTTTTTTTTTTTTTTTTTTTGGTGTTTAGAGAGCCGCAAAGGCGAGTGATGAAAATCGATTCCAGAATCACCTGGCACCGGAAGAGAAGCTTTAACCACTTAAGCCATCCCTCTTCGATATTGGTCATATTGATTTAGTTGTTACACCGCTTTGCCTAAGAATACATTTAGCTGGAGTATTGTTTGAAAAATGGAGTAAATTTGTTAAGCAAAGTTGCTTTGAAGCGCTATTTCAAGATATTAATGCACCTTTGCTGCGAATGGATACAGAACTGCTGTTGATCGTATTATACTAACCTTGAAGCCAGTTCGGGGTAACAAATGTTATGTCTACGCTTTCCTTATGAAGCCCCATGACCTTATTTTAGCATGTAACTATGTAAGCACCATTCTAGATATTTGACCACAGTCTGAGCCCGACAAATTTATTACATAGTACATTGAGCTTGCCGTACACCAGAGATCTAACACGCACGACCTCAACTTTAAGACTATCCACATAGCAACCACCTAGCAACTGTATTTTAACAATCTACGGGAAACGGGAAGAAAAGTAAGCAACAATGTACTTCTCACATCATTATGTTCTTGTAAAGTGTCATGAAACCTGGCAGCACCAACATCAAACAAGTTGCAGAATTACTAGATCGGACAGATATCTTCTAAACTGCAGAAGAAGTAAGAGATTTAAGATATTAAACAACTCTGCAAAGTCAATCACTATTTCAACTGGTATCTCAAAAGGAAAAGAAAATTCATTGGGATAACCAGAAGTTATACCTCATCCCCAAAAACTCAATTATATCGCTCGTAAGAGTTGCCCGCTTTTTATTCTGAAATGCTATGGATGCCGCTTTCCTCAGTAAAGCAGAGCCAGCTACACATCCTATCAAGGCTGGGTTCATTGTCCTGTTAAGCAGTTTAATACAACAAAGGTATAAAAATAATTCAATGCTTAAACAATGGAGAGAATGGAGAATGCATAACATACCCTATTCCCAGATCTCCTTCAGCTAGTTTTATGCATTGTCGAGCCCACGATAAGTATACAGCGACACTGGCATTAGGAGATGGTCACATCATAAGCAATAGTTCTCACAAAACAAAGCATATTTTGGCTTGTATTGTTATCAGTCTAATACATTCGATCACCAGAGTGGTCAGAACATATTTTGGCCTGTATTGGCAGTATAATTATTTTGGTCAGTTTAATACATTTGATCACTAGAGTGGTAAGAACATTACTTAATTACCAAGATCCCAAAGTAATTTTAGCAAAAGGCTATATAATCTAATAGCCCAATATCCTGAGGATTGTAATAGTATTACCAATGTCATTTATTATGCTATCTAATCACCAGTCACCGCCTCATCTTTAACAAGCCTTCAACTCAAATTATTATTGTTTTAAATACATGTCAATCAAGATTTGAACACACAACCTTTCACTTGATTAGCAAAGATGTCACTATCGAATCCACGCAATTATATTGTTCAGTTTATCACACCGTCCTATAATATGTTCCAACTAAAAGAGAAAACAATTCAATGAATAACGTAGATGCACCTTTATTATATACAAAGTATATACTATTACATTTACAGCCTATCAAAACTCACAAAAAAATTAAATACCTATCATCAACTTTACTTTATTACTCATCAAACCACTTTGTCCACAGCTATTTTGAATTGCGTTAAGTTTAAAAATAAAAAAAAATAAAATAAAAAAAAAACATTTTAATATCATAGGACGTGCAATCAACCAAGGTATCGCTTGGGCCGATAATTAGTTTTAGTTTACAGGCATAGTGAGCTTACCTCCCAGAGAGTATATCACCCTGACCACCACAACGCCTAGGAGAACCAAATATGCTCACTGAACAGACTGCACACAGCATGAGCAAAGGAAAACCAAAAGATTAATCATTGAAGCTGAAATCGCACTAAGAAAATGCTCCCATTAGTTGGTTGACAACAAATTAATATTAGCATGACTAAGACAAAATAGCACCTGCATCACCATCACAAATGAGATCAGAGTTCCCTTTCCTCAGAACTGTTACACCTCCAATCCTAGAGAATTCAGAAACTTCCTTCAGTTAATATACCAATGAATTCTTAATGCTTAGCTCACAAAGTTACATATCTAACCACCTATACTCGTTTAAAAAAAAAAAAAAAATACAAGTTCAGCAATAGGTTAAATGCACAATGGGCACATCCCAACCCCTAACACTAAGTCACTAACATTGAACAGATATAACGGAAAAGAAGAGCTGGTATCTCTATGCCTGTGTCACTAAACAAATTACCTCCATATTATGATGCATTACACCTATCCAATTTACTTATGCTAGGAGAAAGCAGGGTTAGCTAGGTCATTACACCTGAGTTTGTGACACATTTGAATCAAGAAGGGTAGGATGGGTAATTGTCACGAAGTTAGTCACAATAGTAGTGGAGAAGAAGACTGAAGAAAGATATATGTGGTGATCAATAGTTGAAGAGAATGTAAGAAAGATATACAGTAATCTAGTGAGAGAAAGTTAATTTAAGGAAAGGACCAACCTATCAAAAGTCGGCCAGTTATAGTTGGCGATTCTCACCTTCAGTATTATCCATACAACTATATCCCTAATTCTTCCCCCAAAATATGTTTTTTTCCCCCTATTTCCCATGATTTTAAGAAATCAATCTGATTATTAGTGCTATAGCACCAAAAACATCATATAAGTTACATTCAAAATGCTATTGGGCCTGATTAAAATGCTGCAAATATAGAATTAAGAAAACACTAAAATACCATGGCTGTAGAATTAAATTATCAGAAAAGAGAGTTTTTCTTTTTTTTTTTTTTTTTTTTTTTTTTGAAAAAAAGTCTCCTTCGATCTTCCCAATGACTTGCGTACATAGATGATATAGTAGACACTTGAAGTTTAAACACTCATCACATCATCATGACAAAAGCATGCATGCATACCTTTGAAGGTACATGCATCACCATTAGGCTGATTAAAAGCTACAATATGTCCAGCAACTTGGCTAAGACAGACAGATAGTACACTGCCAAACAGTCAAACTTTATCAGCCACTTAATGATGCCTTAAAGTCCAACACCAATTGTCACAACAAGAGAAGCAGTACAGAGATAGCATTAAAGAAAAAGAGAACATTAACTCAACTCCAAATCCACTACAAGGAATTGACTCAACTCCAAATCAAATCTTATACTTCGTATACCTAGCATTAAAGCAAAAGAGAACATTCAAATGTCCAAGAAGAAAACGTTTCTCTCAGGGAATTAAAAAAGAGAAAACAATGTCATCATGGCTTCAAATGCTGTCAAGACTCAATACATAATCCAAATGGATACATGAAACTAGGACCATTGCATAGGACCTCAACTATGGAAGCTAGAACACACCATATAGTCCATATTCTAAAAACCAAAAGTTAAAATTTAAAACACACAAGAATCTTGAAAGGTCATCAATTTGACTGTAGAAGTCCCCCTTATAACTTCGAGTTGAGTGTTTATTTTATTTTTATAATTTTTATTTTTTGAAAGCCAAGTTTTAGATTAGATAGAATATTACTTTTGCTTGTTCATTTTGCTTGGTGTATTTTCCTCCCCCTTATTCTAGCGGCACTTAGTTCAAATCCTTAAATGTTATCACTATAGAGAAGAACTGCAAAATTATAAGTACATCTAAATGATTTACCCTTTAACAAGAGACAGTAGCTCAGCTGAAGATTCTTCTTCATTTACTTCACAATTGAGCACTTTCTGCACAAGGCGCTTGTACTCATTTACATTGGGTGTAAGCACAGCAAAAGGATAACCGCTAACCAGATCAAGAGAATTGGTTACAAGAAATAGTCCATCCTGCAAAACAAAGATTGTAACGGAAAAAGAATTCTATCACATGCAGTATAGCGATCAACACATCCTAATTGGGACTTAGGAGGCTATATATAGACATTGGATTATTGTTAATACTGATGTGTAGATAGTAAAATGACATAAGTGGAGTTTGATGTTATAGTAAATCATAAACACTTACCCCATCTATAACAAGTGGGACATTCAACTGGCGAGCATGTTTTATAATTTCACTCACACAATCCTGCACATCAAAAACAAGAACACATCAGAATTTGAAATAAAGCAATAAAACTGTTTAAGAAATTAGAACAGCAGGAATATTTTGTACAAACAAAATGAAGGGCCAGCACAATATCATTATGGCTCATGTCAAGCGATGTGACAAAGTTTTACACTGGCTGTCACTGGCCTACCGCAACCCTCCTCGCTTGGGACTGGCAGCGTAAAAACCACTGGCGGAGTTTTACAATGAACAGCCATTGTCAGTGGCATTCACACATAAAATAAGTATATGTAGGCAAAAGAGGTTTAAACCATAGAGTACGCAGTAAAGTTGAATAAATACAAAATTAACCCAAAAAAAAAAAAAGGTATCAAGTAATGTTAGATAAAACAAATTCGACTGAACTTTCTTCAACTACAACTTTCCTCTCCTCCAACCCATACTTATACGATGGGCTCAATTTTATTTTACAATCACCGCTTCAAAGATAAACAAAATATAAAGCATAACACTTGATTCACCCATTCAGGTGGCCAGTTCTCACACTAATAGAAAAGTTGCCGGTTGTGTAAACTATAGAATGATGCCATTACTCATATAACATTAAGACAATTAATATAGGGGTTGAGAATAGACAACAATCTTCCAGAATGCACGAAGGTCAGGAAGGCATACCAGAAGAAATGGATCCCTCCCAAGGCCTGGGCCAATAACAAGACAGTCAAATCGCTCCATCCACTTCTTAACTTCAGAAAGAACCTTATTTGCAATAATTCCTTTGTCCTCGTCCCTGAAAAAGATGTTCCACATTACCACAATGTCAAACACAGATAGTATAGATAATCAAATGGAAGCACCACGATCCAGCTTTACTTGACATTATATGACTCTTCCAATACCGGGTGCACAATCAGCTCAGGACTGTAGCATTTTATGATTGGAGCTGCATCTTTAGTGCAAAAAACATGTGACAAATCAGCACCCTAAAATAAAGGAAAACAAAGCCACCAAAACTCAGGTCCAAATCAGTGAAAGAAATAGAAAATGATGCAATTTATAAAATATTATTAGTAACATGGAAATATACTAACAATTTTTAAGGCTGAGATTGCTGCGAAGTAAGGAGCACCAGTGTATTCACGACAACCCCCAACAACAGCTATTTTCCCTGACACATAGCGGCTTGTATGTCAGAATCTTTGAGCACACTCCAAACAAAATAACTAGAATGCCTCATATGCCAGATATTTAGGGAGAAATTACAACAGCCCAAGAAATACAGCAACTTCTGAGGAACAGCTTGCATATATCTTGTTTCCAGAAGAATAGCTATGAACTTAAGAAATAACAAACTATATTGAAACACGTCAATAAATTTGTTCCTGAAAACGAAATTCGTATCTTGTTATAAAATCACACATTCACACCCAACCTTTCTTTATCATATAGTTGAACCATCTTTTGAGAACCTAATGTTTAATATTTAGAAGGTTTCGCACCTGCTAGAAGCAAAGGCAACCTTCTGATTAAATACATTCAAGAAACTTCAATGACAAATTACAAGATATCGTAGTTTGTTTTGCCATAGTAGATTTTCAAATTACATTAGTACATTACTATCAAGCTATAAATACCCTCAATGGTTGGATGTATCTCACACTTATATTATGCAATATTAATTTATTTTGGAAAATTAATAATTTTTCCAAGATATTAGCTTTGTTAAGCAATAGCTGCTGCTTAGACACAGGTCAATTATTTTGCTCTCCAACAGTTGAACTGCAGCTACATTTAACAAAAATTGCAAACAGGTCATTTACATCCCCCATTAGAGTTGCTCTTATAGGCATATAAAAATGCATTGAAATGCTTGAATAAAACTTCCATTTCTCAGTTAGTGTTGATAACTCACACCTTGATATTTCTCCAGTTGCTACCTTTTATAAGCTACTATTAAATTTCTGAGTATTTTAAACCCAAAACCAATCAATCTATATTTGTTGCAGCGAAAGGTTGGTACTTAAATCACACAAATTCAAGAATAAATAAAACACTTTAAGCTAATTGTATCTATAATTTCCTGAAGAACATCACAGTATATCAAATACTGCTAAAATCAACTTACACATACAAGTAAATACAATGCCCTTTTTGTTCCCAATTCGATACAATCAAAATCCAAAAGCTTAGCAGCAGCAAAAGAGAGATGGTATGAACTCACCAGCCTGTCCTTTATATCTTGATAAGTCAAGGGTAGGAGTGATCCTTCTGATAATTTTCATAGCATCGGCCTCCATCACGCTCATTTTCACAGAGCAATTTTGGTCAGGGCTACCTCCTAATGATCTTATCAAGAACTGTTGCCGTCTTAAAACAGCCGAGAATACTGACACTGAACTTTTTGCTGCATTCAAACTTGTTAACCGGGTACTCATTCCATGTCCACTTAGCATCAACTAGCACTCCAATCTCCTAAACAATCCATAAAATGTTAACCAACCTACCGAAGTTAGAATATTTCTATAATCAAAAGCACAAGAAAAAACTTTGTGGCAAGAGAATATATATGGAGTATACAGTATTAGGAAGAGGGGGAATAAGAGTTCATTCGGGCTGATACTTTCAATGAGAGTTCATTAAAAGCAAGTCAAATCTAATCAGCATATCAGCCCCCATGCCTGAGCCGGAGGGGCGGCCACCTGCGCTGAAGGAGCGAAGGTCCATTTTCATTATTAGTAGACATATGAAGTGGACAAAATTTTTATTTCTATACCAGCAGACGAGGGTACAATAAAATGCAGACTAACTTTTCTGTTTGAAAATCACTTCGAGAGTTATCAGGTACTAAGCTGGAATTTGAACGAAGGAGTACAGAGTACACCAAATTCTTGTCTTCCCCTGATCACTTCAGCAAAGTTAACTTCATCTGTAATCTTATTTTGAGTAAATTATCAGGTATTTGTGTAATCCTCAGTCGGTTATTTTCTTACTGTAAGATATTATTAATTTTCATACTGCTAAAATTTCTTACTGTAAGATATTATTAATCACAAAACTTATAATGCTTTTCCATAGCAAGATTGAACTATCTTAAACTAGGGGAAACCGAGACGGTATCGAACTATGAGTATCTAAAATTAGATATCACCCAAAGTTAATCACTTACTAATGAAATAAACTGCAATTAAACTATGCTAGATAACCATAAGAAACTGAATCATCACAGCAAGAATTTACAAAAAAAAAAAAACAAAAAAACAAAAAAAAAAAAAATTAAATAACATATAAATACAGTAAATCATTTACATGCATCCCATAATCGTAGATTGGATTATTGCACACAAGCAAAGGAAAAAATAAAACGTAACATATAATAAAATTCATATAAAAACAAATAAAACAACCACATTTACAGAACTAAAATGAAATTACACATAGAAAAAGAGATTCAAAAATGGAATGTTATTAATTTAAGTAATTCAAAAAATTGAACATCATATATTTATATAAAAATAAATAAATAAAAATCTTAAATAAGAAAACTGAACTGAGTAATTCGATTGAAAGATAAATGACATTACGCCAAAATAAAAAGGACAAAAACGAAGTCAAATAATCAACACACATAATCGAATTCAGTAATCAGATTACCTAAAATGAAAATCAGAATTAGACAATTAAGTATCTAAACAAAATTAAGATAATAAATTGATAACCAAACCCTAAAAAAAGACTTGTGTACTTGAAAAACTGACATTAACGTACCGATTGAATGAGTGATTAAGCGTGATTATTATGTTTAGACTTAGAGAGAAACCGCTGGCCAGGGTTTTTGGGTTTTTGTTTTGGAGAGACACAGCCCTTGAGCTAATTCTTTTCTTATGCTTCTACCACAAACGCCCTGTTCACTTATTGACAATTTGCAGTTAGTGGTTGGTTGTTGGTTGTCCGCGATTTAATTTACTGGTTTGACATCGTGTCAGCATTGATGGTTTATATTGAACAATAGGTTAAGTTCCGTGCAATATATGGTTGTTAAATAATTATAATGAACAAAACTTTACAAAGAAAGGTATAAAATATAATTAATCGACTCACCAAGTATTATAAAGTATGAATGAATAAAATAAAAAATTAGTAAATTAGTAAAAAAAATTATTAAATGGTTTTAATAGAAAATTGGAAAAATATAAACTAATAATCTCACCTTTAGTCGGTCTTCCACAAACAATCCCACCTTTTGTAATTCCAGAAATAATCCCACCTTTTGCCCCTATCTTCCATTAACAATCCCTGACCGGTTGGATTGATTTGGTAACCGATTTTCTTAAGTTAAAAGACACGTGTAGATTTTTAATAGGTTTAGTCCGATTTTTAATAATTAAAAAAAAACAAATCTAATTAAAAATAAAAATAAAGAAGAAAACCCCCAGCCCCGCCACTAGCCCAACCTGCCACTGCACTCCTCTCCCCATCCCTGCCCTTGCATTCTCCGGCAACCACCACCCTGAAAACACCACCAGTCGCACACCCCTTCCACAACCATCAATTTCGCACAATCCCGGAGTTCAGCGATGATGTAATTCGAACACACGGAGTTTTGAGATTTTTCGTGGGGGTGGGATTTCATCGGGGTGGTACTTGGGTTTTGTGGGGTTGTAGGCGTGGGTTTTGTATAGGTGGGTTTCATGGGGTGGTTTTTATGGAGTTTTTCAGGCTAAAGGTTGAGTTTTTAGGGCCAAAAGGAGTTATTTGGGGCTGTGGGTGGTGTTTTCGGGGTTATCATTGGTGTTTTTGGGGCTGTGGGCGGTGTTTTCGGGGGTGTTAGTGGTTTTGGGGGCTGTGGATGGTGTTTATTTTGGGGCTGTCAGTGGTGTTTTCGGGGTTGTGGATGGTGTTTTTGGGGTTGTGGGTGGTGTTTTCGGGGTTGTGGGTGGTGTTTTCGGGGGCTTTCGATGGTGTTTTAAGGGCTGTGGATGGTGTTTTCGGGGGCAGTCAGTGGTGTTTTCGAGGTTGTGGGTGGTGTAATTTGAGTGAGGCTCGGGTTTTGGGGGTGGTGATGGTATTCCGGCGTGGTTGGGGGTTTCGTAGTGGCCTAATGGGTGGAGGTGGCGGTAAAGGGTGAGGGTTGGGGTGACCACGGTGGTGGCTGGTGGTCGTAGAAGAGATTAAGTTTTAAAAATAAAGGGAATTTTTTTTTAACCTGTTTAATAGGTTGTAGGTCAAAGGGATTGTTAGTGGAAGATCCCTATCAAAGGTGGGATTATTTCTGGAATCTAAAAAAGTGGGATTGTTTGTGGAAGACCGACTAAAGGTGCGATTATTAGTTTACATTTTTCCTAGAAAATTTGATATTTTAGGAAGTTTACTTTAGATTTTATATAAAGTGAATGTCATAAATTAGATACAAACCTTCTTTTTCTATAAAAATTTTAAGCAAGTAAATTTAGAGGGAAAATTTTTAATAATACATTGTCAAGTGTCATTTTTAGTTTTGCTTTTAGCAGAATGTAATAGATTTGATCTTGGTTGTACAAAATTTTTTGAAAATCAGTTGTTGGTTTTTAGCTTTAACTATGCAAAATGAACTTTAAAGGACATTATTATGGGAAGATTGTGAACTTATTCATCTATCATAATTATTACTTCCTCCGGTTTTTGTTAAGTGTTATATTTTGACTAATACAGTAATACATAGTTTTAGGCAATTTAATTGACTTTAATATTATAAGGTGTCAAATAATTGTAAAATAAGATAGTGAGCTAATATTTTATTAAAAAGAAAGGCATGTGATATAAATGTATTACTGGATTTGAGTAGAGAGAAATTGTATTAAAATGTAGTTTTGTGTCAAATAATGGAGGTGTAACATTTTAAAAAAAACGGACACATATGGTAATTATAACACTTAAAAACAGAGGGAAATAATTAAGTACGAATTTTTAATTAGAAATTAATTCTAATTTATTAGTTAATATCTGCTAGTTTATGTTAAAATATAATATATAAAAAAATAAAAAAAAGTAAAAAAATAAAAATAAAAGTATTTATAAACCACATAGTGTTGTTAATTTATAATTTTATAATAATTAATAGGGGTATTAAACAATCATTATATACAAATTTTAAAGTAATTATTAATAAATCATTAACAATTATTACTTACTTATTTAATTATTAATTACCAAATTATTAATAAATTAATCAAAAATTAATGATTAATTTGTTATTAATTATTAGTGAAAAGTAAGGATAATATAGTAATTTAATGATGAAAAACCAAAAGTAAAAGACTAGCTTTTTATTTTTGCCGAAAAAGTCGGCTTTACAGCCAGTAAAAAAGTCATGTACTATCAAACAAGTTTTTTTGGCTGTTTGACTATGATAAAAAGCTAAGAGTGTAACACCAATTATTGTAAATGTTGACTTAAGAGCGATTGGCCTATTGCTTTTGCCACAACTTGCTGGTGGCAGATGTAAGATGTTTTGCGAAGGAAGTGGATGTTCCACGTGATCAGGCAACCTTTATTTTTGCTAGATCAGAAAGATTAAAAATGCGTTGTCTAGCAAGGTTCGGGCCAAGAAGTGAGAGCAGCTAAGAGAGTGGAACATCTGATTAGGTGGGCTTTTCCTAGAAAGGGGTGAAATTGTTTAAATACAAATGAGGCTGCAAAGGGTAATCTCGGAAGGGCTGGTGCTGAGATCATTATTCGTGGACATAGGGGACAACTCCATGAGATGTTTGGTGGAGTTTGTACATGCACAAAGGCAGAGCTTATTAGGGTGCTACGTTTTTTTGGCAGTAGCGTGGAATGGGGGGTGTTTAGGGTAAAATTACCCATGACAAATGGACCAATCCGGACCTGCCACGTGTCCACCACGTGGGCCAATCAGCGTCTGCCACTTGTCACCCTAAGAGGTCCAACATGGACTAATCAGGCCACGCCACGTGGCCTCCCATATGCCAAATAGGCAAAAATGGCCACCAAGGCCCAAAGTCCGAGAGAAGCCCAATTTTCCCTGGTTAACCTAAACCTAGGATTGGCACGCTTCTCAAGACTATAAATACTTAATTAATCCTCATTAAAGGGGATTCAGCAATTAATGACTCTCACCTAGAGAAAACCAAAACACATTGATCACTCCTCCCCTAGAGGAACCAGATCTCCTACCTTTACTTTCCGCATTTATCACTCCTCAAACAAGTACTAACTTGATCGTCGGAGGCGGAGCTCCTACCACAAGGAGTCTCCGTTTGTTTTGCAAGTACAGGCGTCCGGTTCCAGTCTCGGAATTGTAACTCTCCCGCAGGACATCAGAAAACCCCGAAACATTTTGGCGCCGTCTGTGGGGAGAGTACTTCTGAGATGGCATCCACGTCTGTACCGACTCCTGAAGAGAGGCGTCCCCTAGACGACCCTCAAGTTCAGTCGGACCATGATACTGAGGAAGAATTTAAAGTTGAAGCTCACACAGCTTCAGACGGGACCCTAAGGGCCCGGCGCACCCGTCCTACCGAAAGGAGGGAACGAGAGGCTGGTCCCAGTCGGCCAGCCGGCCCACCGCCTGAGACTCAACAGGCGGCCGAAGGATCTGCTCCTATTACTAGGACATAACTCATGACTCTCATGAGTACTTTCAAGGGAAAGATCCAAGAGCTTGTCAATAAAAAGGCGACTGCTCCACCAAAGGAACAGTCGGCCAGATCAAACAACTCCCAGTTGAAGTTACATGCGCCTCGCATGAAACTACTGGGTACAACCGGCAATATACCAGCCTCCGAGCATCCGGCCAGGCGGCCAACTACTGCAGGCGTCATACGGCCGAATGCAAAGAGTCAGACGGTCAAGCTTCTCCACCTAAGAGCCTTAGGTGGCAACCTACTACAAAGTTAATCTTAGCATTTGATATTATCAAGTGGCATAAGTAGTGTCATAAATACCATCCCACATCGCTATATACATAGCCGGCTCCCATGATGCTTGTCACGAACAGCTTCCTCGGTCGGTTGTTCTACATGTCTAGGAAGCCTGCTGTTTTTCCTTCGATAAAGGCCCGACTGTGAGTGCAGTAGTGGCATGCCAACGTCAAGCCTTTGAGCTTTTAGGCGGCAACCATAAGAGCAGCCCTCATTCTCGCATAAACAGCCGGCTCTATATGATGTTTTATCAAGGTACAGTCGCAAGGTTTCTGCTCAAAATATAATGCCAAGTATACTTGATACAAATGAGTTTGGTTCCAGCTTGTTCTTCCAAAAGCAAACAGCCAAAATACTCGCACATATAAAAATCTCTCGGCCTGCCGAGAGGAGTAGCGCTTGGCTCGTAGTAATATAATTGGCCATGAGAGTGAATGCTTTAACTTGTTCATGTGCTAGTCTCTTATTGTGAAAGCTGGGCATTGGCGTCTCGCCCAAGGAAGCAGGCGGCCAGATGACAGCCGGCCTAGTCCTAGCCACGAAGCATGACAAATCAGCTAGCCATGCTAATGTAGGCGACACCTAAACAGGCAGCCCAATCCGAGCCACCAAACAGCCGGATTGATCACTTCAAGAACAAGCAACTCAAAAGGCCGAGACGAATGAGTTCATGTGTATGTAAAAAATAGGCAGCTAGGCAGCTGTATTTATGTATGGGAAGCATTGAAACCGGTTGTTTAGCCATCAAGTAAATCCAACAAACCACTTGTCTTTCATGAAAGCAGGCGGCATCCTCAGCGAACGCATCAAGCAATGCGTGAGGTGATATGGGTCTTCATGTTTTGTAATGAGGGCCGAGTCTTGAATCACTTTGGTCTAAATAATGCCCAACACGATCAAAACATAATTAAAACAAGCGGCAAGCTGATCATACGGCATCATGTGGCCGAATAAAATTTTGAAAGTTAGCTCCATTGAGAAGAGCAGCTCGGCAT